AAACCCTAAGCCCTAAACCTAGGGCCCAAAGAAAAACCCAAATATCAAGCCGTCAGCTCGCCAGACCCACATGCCATGCCCTGGGTCCAAGAAACCTGCATTTCCGACCTTGAATTGGTTTAGGGTTTAGGGGTTAGGGTTTTAGGGTTTCAGAGATTTAGGACTTCGGGTTTTAAGGATTTAGGTTTTAGGGTGTTAGTGTTTTAGGTTTAGGGTTTAGAGTTTAGGGTTTAGAGTTTATGGTTTTAGGGTTTAGGGTTGAGGGTTTATGCCTTAGGGCCTTAGCGAAACTGAACCCGGAAATTCGAGACCATGCTAGTCAGTTCACACGCCGTAGCCACCGCTTCTATCCCCAGCAACAACCTTGATAATACACCTCATTCCTGTGATTCCTCTAAAAACGCCAAAGCCTTAGTTGGAGGCCCGAGGTATTCCAGCAGCCGAGATGCAGGGTCACCTGAACCCGAGAAGCTTTGTACATGGAGAGGTTCGTGGCGTTGGGTTGAAGGTTTCTGGAAGTTTTACACAATTAGGTTTTATATATATATATTAGGGCTCCCCATAATCAGGATTATTGTAATTATTTCAGGGTCTATATTGGGGTCCCCTACTTATGGAAACCCCTTCTGGCCAAACCAGACTACTTCACTAACAGAAATGCCCCCCACGCTATTAAGGGTCATATATGGGTGGTTCTCAAAAACATGGTTCCCTTTCTTGGATCCCTATATATAATACGGCACCTAATACTTAGGGTAACCAAAAATGGACCATGACTTTGACAACCACCCAAATAACTCAAAATCACCCAAGCTGTCAGCGCTGGTGTCATTTGGCTTTCGTTTGAGGTTTCGCCAACCACCCCTAGAGTTAGGGGTTAAATGAGGGACAATTTGGGGTGATAAGACGGGAGCTTCTCAAAAAAACAATCCGCATGTAATCCTCAAGGAGCATCAACAAAGCTTCTAGAAGCCTTCTTGCAGCTCGTCTGAGGCATGTTTGGGCGCGTCCGACGCTACCCTAAACCCTAAACCCGCCACCCTAAACCCACGGCTTCGGCCCTAAACTTTCAACCCTCAACCCAGGCTTCAACCCCTGAACTCTGCGAACTCCCATGTCTCAGGACCCTCCGATGTGGCCTTGCAGTGCTGCGCCAACTTCCTCGTCGACTTGCAGAAGACTCACGGCCTCTTCTGGGCTAAGGATTGAAGGCTTGGGGGTTTAGGGTTTAGGTTGCAATCTGTTAGGGTGTAGGGTTTAGGGTTGGGCCTGTATCATGACCAAGATAATGTTGTGGTCTGCTTGAGGTCTGCTATACTACAACTGTACTTTAGTGTATCCCCCTTAGTCCCCTATATAATCCGCTATAAGAACTTCGGACTATAGCTCATATATGGGGTCCCCTTAGACCTGCCTGAAACTTTGAATCTACAGCTTATTCGAAGCCTGACGGCTCACAACCCAGCAGGGAAGCTGCAATCAGAACTCATGTTTCTAGGGTTTGGGGTTTACGGTTTA